CCAAAGAAACTATGGACAAAATTCAGACAGTTCTTGATTCTCTGGCAGTACAGCAGGCATCGTGAATATCAAAACCTTATTTCTACACAAAAATGTATTTTAATGCAAGGGATTAGATTTTAGAATGTAAAGTTGAATTTAAAGCTAAATACAGCTAAAAAACCCAAGTGCATCTTAGATTGAGCCAGAGTTCTCAGCATTTAGTTGTTTTGACCTCTTAGTCCCTCTAACACGTTCTCATATTGATGTCATGAGAACAACCCTTCTCTTTTTACACATGATAAACATTAGGAAAAGTGCAACAATAATGGTATCAGTAGCAAACCCAAGAACATAAACTACAATAGAGATAAAATATTATTCCTCTACCTAAAGAATGATCATGTGTGACGTACCTGTTCACAAGCCTTTAATTTCTCTTCCAAGATGTGAATGGTACCCTTCAGTCTATCATTTTCATCTATGTACATAAAAAACTGTATGATACACTAAAAAGTACATTTTGACAGTATTATCAGCATGAAAGCAGAATAAAGAAATTACTTTCACTTTTTGACTTGTCTGAACTTTAAGAAACTTTTTTGTAGACATGATAATCATCATTTACAGAACTACATAATCTCAGTCTCCATGTTTTTAACAAGATAATTCATAGTTTAATCATAATATTTGCCTGGTAGTACTACTTTGAACTGTCTTTAGCCTTCTCATAACTAATGCATTCAGGAAAATCTAGATGCAAAGTTCTTTGGCTGAGAAAATAAAAGATTATTATCATGGCTACAATGGTTTCCCAAAAGTACCTGTTTCCCAAATGCTAATTAGAAGTATCTCAAAAACAGATAATGCTTTTTTTGATTTTTAAAAGTCACTTTGAGTATTAAAAGCAGCCACATACTTCCAATTTTTAGAGGTTTATTAATATTTATGCTAATATGCCTTAAACACACAATGAGTGTAAAATTAACTACATGGTGTACTGCTAAACTGTGGTATAAAGATATAGCAAACATTTATATATTTTATATTAAAAGAGCAATGAGTAATTGTCAAGTATTTATGGATAACAGCTAAATTTTAGTAACATGACACTGAGGATTAAGACCCTTTGGTTTAACAAAGTGATAAAAACTACGCATAAATGCTTTAACAGACTACTGTCCAACAGTTGAATGATACTTTCTCACTTTTTGTAAAATTGCCTGTGCTATGTTGAAATAAATTTAAAGCCCAGCTATTGATTAAAAAAATCTCACTGAGACAGAACTTCTTTTACATGTGGATTCTAAGTAGGTTAAAAGCAATAGATGTTTATTAAGCATATAGACCAACAATCTGCACAGGGTATTTTTGATACATTTTTTTTCCTTTCCATTTGGCTGCCAGTGAGTTTCTCTCTTTGGAAGAAAAAGTAAATATAAACAAAAAATTTAAATGCCTGCTCACTCTAAATCACAGTACAGTACAATATATATAAGAACATTTTTGCTTTTACCTTTCACGTTACACTGGTTTTCAATGGTTTGTGTAAGACCCTTTATCACATTCTGTAGAGCAGTACATTCTAAAAGAAGTGAAAAATCCAGTATTTTGGGGTAATTTCGTCACCAGTTTAATTTTATGTTTTGTTTATAAACTTTTCCCAAATATAATAATCTTGATTAAATATTAGTCTTCTTACTGACAAGTAACTCAGATCGTTATTACATGGTTCCTGCTTAATTTTAGCTTTTAGTTTGACGATAGATTAAAACAATTTCATCAAGCAATATGAACAATTACATAAAACTATTACATTTTTGTTTCTAGCCAGAAAATAAGGATGTTATTGTTTCCTGGGCAATAATGGAAGTTTTCCATATCAACATTCCAGCAATTTGATGTAATTAATGAAAATGAGGCTTACTTTCCTGACGGCACTTTTGCCAAGATTCTTTTTAACAAGATCAACATTATCCACTCATTGCAGTTTCTCACCCCGTTTTTAGTGCATATTAACATTCATCCTGTGGCTCAACATAAACCCGGAGAGATTCAGAATATGCTACTATATCCCCATTATCTCATTTTAAAAAAATAACTATGTGTGTGTGTATGTATACACATGCAACTTGTTATCTGTTTACATATTTATGTTTCATAATTTTATTTTTTTAAAATTGTATTTTTAATGTTTGAATGCCATATGGACTGCCTGTAATATAACATTTGGGTTTCATTAAATACTATTTTTATCCCTTATGTTCCTTGTAACCTTATCAGTAAAGTTATAAAACAGTCAAAGACTGGGAAGACAGGGGACACTAAGACTGAGGTTGCCTACTCTTAAACCTTTCTCTCTATTTCCAGAGTACCACTGCATTTCTTAAGTGGCTTTTAACTTCCTCAACATATCAAGTACACTAAATAACAGTGACTCATCTCAGAAAACCAAAGCTCTGTTGAAAATTGTAGGTGATATAATTAAAGACTACATTACAAATAATGCAGTCAGGAAGATGAATTAAGATCCCAGCTCAGAGATTCAGTTTTCCGCTCAATCTTTTTGACCTTTAGTCTATTCTTCCATCATGTCTGCTTTTCATGCAGCCGAGTACGTTAGCCAGCTGTATTCTCCTGTTCCATGCTTCCAAAAAAACAGTAGAGGGAGCACAAACAGCACAGAAACATTGCCTGCTCCCAGTTCATGTACTGGATCAAAAGCATTTGTGGAAAAATCCTATTCAAAATCCAAAGCACTAGGTTAGCATGCTCATTTGTACCAACTAGATCTACTACAAATTTTCTCCCACTTGAAAATGTATGGAAATAAACCCAAATGCTTGTAATTCATGCACAAATTGGAAAGTCATCTATGCATTTGAGTAAACAATAGGACAGCAGCTAGTCTTACAATGAATAACAGCTATTTAAGTGCAAGCCATCCTTTTGTCCAGTCGCAAGAATATCTGCTTATCTTTCATATCTTTAAAGGATGTATCTTGGCAAATCCCTTATGCAATTACAACTGTGACTGGAAAAAGTTACTGGGAACCCACAAGTTTTGCTTGCCTACATTAAGGAAGAAAAGCAAAATTTTGCTAAATGGTTGCTGCTTTGTGCATCACTGGCATGGCACCTGTTATGGATTTTGTGCGGTGCCTTCCCTGTAAAGAATGCTCCCTACATGCAGAAAGACTGAACAGCCTAAGTGATCTTTTTCCATGTTTAGTATCTATAATTTATTGCAGTTTCTTCCATCTACATTTATAATTGAAGTTATTGGCTTTTTTTATAGGGGAATTACACCAACCACTTTTTTCTTTAACACCTTTGAAACGCTGTCAACAAATATGCAATCCTGAAGATGCCAGAGACACCTTAAGTGTTCCATAGACAATAATGTGATTGCTTTCTTTTTAAGAACTATGGTAGATTTTAGTTCAGAATTTGTAGCCTGCACCACAAGAGTCCATTTAGTCACCACAGAAAACGTTTAGGAGCAGAAAACAAGAATGTCAGACTTGGGTCTGTCTTAAGTGGATCTGCAATGATTTACACTAAATAAAAACTGGGGTCCTGAATCTCACCTTTGTCTAGCAAAGAACATATCAAGACAAAACAAAGCTCATTTACAACCTTTCAGAACATGTATACACTTGCCCATCTTTTCCTACCTTATCTTTGGTTAAAGTGTTTCACTCTCCTCTCTCCCTTGAACTTTAGAAGGTTTCCTTCTTCCTTCACATTTCCTTCACCACTCCCACTCTTCTTTTACCTTGCACAGTTCTAGAGAGATGCTTCTGGCAATCAAGGTATCAAGGAGCCCTCAGGTTCTCACTTGCTGGAGATTTCTTGGGGCACGAAATGCTATTCTCATTTCTGTTTCTCATACTAAGAAAGAGTTCTTCAGCCAGGGTAAAATTCTACTTCCTTCACCCCACCACCACCAGCAGCCACAAACCCTTCAGGGTAGGTGGAACAACAGCCTTTCCTTCCACAGTGCTCTTTCTCTCTGCTCCTCTGCTGTAAGCAGCATGTTTATTTGGAATCATATGCGAACGATTCACCACCATATGGTCTGTCATGTTTTTTCCTTAGCTGTTCTGTGAATTGCTTTGTGGTCTACTGCTAAGCCTTACATTCTAAGGCTGAGTTGTTTGCCTATCCTGTAAATTCATTTGCTCTTGTGCTAAATTCGTAATAGGATGAACTTGAGAATGCTCTTGAGAATGTACACACATTCAGATTATATGTTGACACTATCATCAAGAAATCGATGCAGCTGTCCAAACCCAGCAATTTCAGTTGCCTTTGGACCAACTCTTCAAATGATACTTTCAGGACATGTGGCTGAGCTGGGTCCCGGGAAGCAGCTTGGGACATAAGGCTAGGAGAAATCTTTTTTTCCAAGCCACAGTTGTATAAAAGCCATTCTCACAACTAGAATCTGTTGGAATAACTGTTCCCAGAGTAAGAATGGAAGTATCAATGCTACATTTGGTCCCTTGCATCTTCTCCAGTTCTGCACGGGATGCCTCTATATCCCCATCAATAATAAAGTGTTTTTTTAATCCCACGGTGCTTTGACTTTCAAAAAGGTTTTACAAAGAATCGAACTATTAGATGCAACACTTTTAGTGCTCTGATTCTGAATACACAGTATGCTGTTACCCCTTCTGAAGAGTCAATGTTGCAGGTGAAATTGATAAAGGTGCAAAGACCATTTCTATCCATTTCAAAAAGAAAAAGCAAAATCCTTTAGAAACATTATATACTTACTAAAATGTATAATCACTACACCAACTGTAATGTCCTTTTGAAATACTCTTAACCTTACAGTCACTGCTGATCTCCAGTAACACAGTAACTGTTTGCCTGAAGATTCCTCTGACAGCATCCGCTGCAGATTATGGCAATTTGCTGCCCAAGATGGTTTGTGAAACTCTGCTCTCTGATCACCATTAACGAATACAGTTCAAAAATATGAACTTATAAACACTTCATGCCATGATTCTTAAAGTGTTTACCTTATTGGCAAGCACATTAACCTAATAGAACAGCCATGATAACTGTCTTAATTTCTAAATACCTTCTATCCTTTTCGCATCTCTCATTTATCTTTTACTTCCTTATCATCAAGTAGCTTTCAGTACCACCTCCTGGATGTCCCACTTTGTTCCAAGTTCCTGCCTTTCACTTTTTTCGTTACCACTACTAACTGCTCTGCAATCTGTTTTACTCATTGACCATTATCCCTGGCTTCCAACAATTCTGCCCCTTATCTATAGCCGTACTAATTTGTACAACTACCATAACTTCAATATTATTGAGATTTGTTTTTTCCTGACTATCCCTGCTGCTAAAACTTAAGTTCACATTTCACGCTCCTTGCTCTGGTACTTTTACTTGGACTTCTGCCATCCACATTCTTTTTTCCATCATGCGTTTCAAAACAGCTCCAGAGGTGGTTCTCTTCAGCATAACTACCTCCCCAAATCATTTCACTTTTATGTCATCGAAGTGAGGCACTACTATTTCCAAAGCTCAACTCTCTCTTCTGACTTTCATCTATTTTCAGTCCATTCTACTTCCACAGTCCTTGTTGTAGTCATTCCAGCTGCTCCTACTTCCTGCATTGTCTCTTTCACTTTCTCTGCTATCTTTTATTCCATAGTTTTATGGGAAGAACAATTTCTTCTTTTTGTCCACCTTTTCCTTTCCCTTTTTAAAATCTATTTTGTATAAACCCCCTCCTCTCTGTTTTTGTCAATAATGAAGCCTCTTGATCTGTTTCTGAATGACTGTCCTGCATTGTCTTTTGTGCTTAACAGAGAAACAAATGGCTCTAATGAGTCAGACCAAAGTTCTATCCAGTTCACTGTTCCACTTCACAATGCCCAGTAGAAGATACTTCAGGAAAGAGGAAAAAAACCTGGATAAATAGTACCCTTAATGTGTCCTCTGAGCTTCCAAAACACAAGAATAAGGGAGACCTGAGTGACAGGTACTGTCTTTGTGTTTAACAAATTTGTTCAGTTTTGTTACATGAATTTTTCTAATCTTTTTGGACTAACCTATACTTCTGTTATCCACAACCTTCTGTGGAATTGATTTAACGACTTTATTTTGTAATGTATGGAAAAGTTCCTCCTTTTGTTTGCTTTAAATCAATCAACAAGTTTGACTTCCATCTAGTTCTCTTATTACATTGAACAGTGAATATTCATTCCCTAGTCACTTTCTCTATGCCATCCATAATTTTACAGCTATGAGTCATATCAGCTCTATTATTTCTCTTTAGGCTCAAAAGCTTCCAGTCAACTTAAGTCTTTCTTCAGATGTTCCAAAATTGTGACCAAACCTGTGAAGGCCCCAACTGCATTCTCCCCCACGCACCTCCTGGGTGTTTGGCTGGGCTCAAGGCCAAATTAGAAAGAGTACATCTGGTGATCTTGAAAAAAGCTGTTTGAAGAAAGCTAGAAGACGACTCAGAAATGGCTGCCCCTCCTTTCCTTGGGAGCTGCTTTTAGGCTGAGGCTTTTGCCCTTGGCCTACCTTGAGCTACGCTGCAGCTATGCTGCAGCCACATACCATGCAGACCTAGACCCTGGTCATGACCTAGGGAGTGACTTCCTGGCTTGATTTCAGACCTGCCTTATCACTATGGACCTGCTAGTGATCAGTAGACCATGTCTGGCCCTTGTTACCATTTCTGGACCTGATCCTGACTCAACCTCCTGTCTTGACCTTGGACCTGCTCCATCACTACGTACCTGTTTGATAACATCGACTTTTAGCTGATCCTGGAAGTCCTCACTGGGCCAGCCCTGCATGGGTACGGTGGGAGTGAGTCTTGGCTGGTGAAGTCCCTGTCTCTGTGGGCCTTGTTACACGATTGGTTCCCGATTCCCTGTCCCTTGCTCCTCCCTGACAATACCAAACCTTGCCACTTTCTTTGTTAACTTTCCTACTTCTGGTATGTCTATTTTGAAATGTGGGGACCAGAACATTACGTGAAAATCACAGACTTTACAGGAACATGATGTTTCTTTCCCTATTTCTTCCATAATCACGCCTATCACTGTGTTTGCTTCTTTGACCACTGATATTTTCAGAGAACTGTCCAGAAGGACGCCAAGATCTCTTTCCTGAGAAGTAGCCAACTAGAGCCAACCACTGTTTATATAAAATGCCTCCCATATGCACTGCTACTGGTTTTCATCTCCCCTTTTTATCACTTGTCATTCTGTATCATAAGATTCTTGGTATAAATGCATAGATTAGCATCATTAGCAAACTTCACTCACTTACTCAATAGCTTTTCTGATTCATTTCTGATTATGCTAAATTATTTAAGTCCCAGCGAAGATGTAAATGAAACCGACTGGCAACCTCACTCCAGTGTGAAACTAAGTTTATTCCTACCCTGTTTCCTAACTTTTAGCAAGTTGACTTGTCAGAGACCAAAGCTCTACAAAAAGATGCACCTTTCAGCAACTCTACAAACTACAGAAGGATAAGCAACCACAAGTCTAGGCTAAGTACTAGATATTATTTCTTTTTTCAAATACCCATCTGAAAAGATATACTTCTAGAATTAAAAAAAAAAATCTTAATTCAATAGTTTGCTTTTTAATTCCTCCTTTAGTTGGCAACTTTTTTATTATGACATAGAGGCTTAAAATTCCCATCTGTAAAATAGAAAATGCCATTTCATTATTCAGCTTCCATTGAACAGTTTGAATCCTCTTAATATTAATAAAAACTATTATGACCATTCATAACTGTTTAGCACCATAAATGACATCTGCTATACAAAGCAAAAGAAATATGACCTAAACTTGGATCACATTAAGGCTGACAGTAACACAAGTGCAGCCTATGGAATAAACTTACAACAGTGGTATCAGCTTAACTGAACTCAGCCTCAAGAATTATATGCTATTCTTTACACTTTATAACCGAGTTGGAAATGTCACTGAGATAAAATCTTGACGGTGATATTATAAACACAAAATGGGCTGTCACATTGTTTAATCTGACCTCTTCAGAGATTAAATCTCACACAGATAAAATGTCTAATGACTGGATAGCTCTTCAGTCCTCTAGAAGCTAAACAGATGCCTAGACAGAACAAGACACTGACATTCCAATACCCAAGGTCCTTATAGAATTAATTTAAGTGATCTGATCCTCTCCCTCTTTCCCTGCCAACACATTGTTTCCTTGGAAAAGGAGATAACACAATCAAAAGAAAAAAGATGAAGAGGAAAAAATGAAAGAAAATACAAAAGGAAAGTTTTTCTTTCATAGGTACTGCATGCACTCAAAAATCTCTTAAAGTGGGTAGATATTAACATCAACTGGAAAATAGTTACTTTAATGCAGTTCTCAAGATATGTTTGTGGATTAAAGTTACCTGGTTTATGCAAATGAGATGGATTCCATTACATGACCCAAGATTAAGCATTACTGTTTTTCACACAGTATCTTAGATCCTTGTTATTTTATTTTTGTATTTTACATGACTGAAAATAATAGAAATATTTCTCAGAACTTCCTGAATATATGCAAAAACCATACTGTTTTTTAAAAAATAACTTACCTTCTTTTACTGATTCCTCCTTTGATTGGCTTAATGTTAACAATCTGTTACATTTTTCCAGCTGAAGAACCAGTACATTATTTGCTTCATTAATTTCTGATATTTTCTAGAAAATTGGAAGAAGACTAAAGTTATATTAATATATCTTTTGATTTAAGTTTTAAATCTTGAGTTTTAAATGAATATGAAACTTAACAATGTCACAACACTGCAGTCACAAACCTGTATTATTTGCCATTCTGGAAATTCCATTACAGAGAAGAACGATGCTAGACTTGAAAGCCTATGCTATTGTGAGTTTACCCTGCAGAACTGAGAATGCCGATTTACATCACTAGTGATAAACTGTTTTCTTCTAAATTCTGCAGTCCACCGTCTGGATCAATCCTCAGCAAGATTCCTTCTTCTGCTTTGCATATGAGGCTGTCAATGCCCTCGCTGAGCACCAACATGAGTAATGGGTGTGAATAGGAATTGGTATAATATGTTTTTTCCATGAGAAATTCTAAATTTATTTCAGGTGCCCCTTTTATATTATCTAGTATGGATTTACTAGTAGATCAGGAAATCACCAGAGAGCTGGCCAACATGGGTCTAACAAGAAATACAGTACCGATTTTCCTCAGTGGATCAATCTTTTAAGAACTGACATATACGTAAAATAAAGAGAGCTCAATGCATATGGAATAGAAGAACAGATGCTCCTGCTATGGCAATGACATTTTTCTAGAACAAGGAACAATTTCTGAAAGGATAGTCCAGCCAAGCTGTGTAATACTGTTATCTCCAATACCAGCTTCTGGTACAAAGGGAGACTTCCATGCTTTTCCTGAGAAGCCAAAATTGGCCTCAGCACCACAGAAATTCTAGCACAGAAACAAAGGCTTCTCAGACTCCACACAAGTCACTCATATCACTCTGAGATACAGTCAATACAAACACTTTCCAAACAAAGTTGGTATTACAAGGCATATTAATAAGAATAAGATGATACCACTTAGAAGAAATTTTCACTTGAAAAGCCTATTAAAATATCACAAAATATTTATAGATAGCAGTTTCAACATTTTTTGCCTTCTTCACTTACCTTCTCTATCTCTGAGAAGTTATCTAAAAGTTTATCAAGGTTCACCACACTGATTTGCTTCATAGTTTCTTCATGGCTGTGATTCATTTCTTTCTGGACCATATAATCCAGTGATCACTGTATATAAAAAAAATAGATCTATGAGTTCATGTATTCCTCATTCATACTATGTCAAAAGATTTCATATGCACAAATGTAAGCAGAACAAAGAACACTTTTTTTTTTTAATTAAAACTATTTTTGCATGTGAAGCTAAACTTCAACCAAACTAAGATCTTGCATTTCTAGGAAACACAATGAATGTCAGAAAGCCCAAGCAAAATCTATCAAACTGTTTCAAAACATACGATCAATTTCTCTTTAGATAAGCTGCTAAAACAGACTGGTCTTCCTGTCCTCACTTTAAAGAGTAGGAAATTCAATCAATTGAAACAATTACTCATTATCTACTGTGCGTATTTTAGAGGCAACAGATGAAATTTTGTTGTTTGATTAACTTAAAAAATGTTACTTAAGTAAATGAGATTTTACCAGGCACACATTAATGCAGGATCTAGACCTTGTACCTGTGTAGATGCTCTAATACTTAACTACTCAGGCTTCAAGTTTCTTACATATTTTCTTATAAACAATTTGCATTAATATCAGCGATCAGACACTGCAGCACATAAACCTTACTGTGCGAGTAAACAGACAGTATTTTGAAAAGCACCCATACAATTCCAGAATAACACAATTCCTGTTTTTAGTAGAATCATAGAATCATTAAGGTTGGAAAAGACCTCCAAGATCATCAAGTCCAACCGTCAACCCAACACCACCATGCCCGCTAAATCATATCCCTAAGCGCCTCATCTACACGTCTTTTAAATACCTCCAGGGATGGTGACTCAACCACTTCCCTGGGCAGCCTGTTCCAATGTTTAACCACTCTTTCCATAAAGAAATTTTTCCTCATGTCCAAAAAAATAGTAGAAATCCTACTTACAGAATCTTCAACATACATTTGCAAGATGGATCTGAAAGACACAATATGAATGCTTCTAAAAATATTGAACTATCTCTGAACATCAGGCTCTATGAAACTTCCATGTTTCATAATTCCAATGAAAAGTTCCAATACCAGATAAACCATGTATTCCACACAAAATCATCACTCGTATGTGGTAATATATGTACTGTATTTTTACAAATAACAAAAAATTGCAATGAGAGAGATGAACCAGAAGTTAGAATGCGTGCACTACCCAGAAACTGAATGGGTTTCCAAGCAGAAATACTTAAAGTTAGGCGGAAATAGATATGTAAATGAACAACTACTAAGCAGGAACCAAAATTACATAACTGAATTATTTTCTGTCATTTGGTATTTACAAGTCTTTACGTGTATGTAACTTCTTCACCAAAGCAGTAAGATAAAGATATCAGTTCTGTGTGTTTAATACTCATTTTTCTCTTGTATCCACTGTTTCCTCAGAGGGACTAAAACTAATTCATTAGCTAAAGCTAATTAACTTTTTTTTTAAATCAACAATTTTTAAGAATATATGTAACATTAAAGAACTAATGCTTCCAAGTTAAATTAGTGATTTTTTACTAAGTTAGCAATCTTAATGACTTCTGTTATTACAATGCAATGATTTGTTAAAATGGAGTTTAAAATATTTATTCAGGATATTAAATTTTGTAAAACAACTACATATCTTAACATACTATTAGTTGATAATCTAAATGTACACTGTGAATGCCAAGCCCTGATCTTTCCAGTCCTTATCATGGGCAGGATCTTAATCTGTTTGTCAATCACCGTTTCTTTTCATCATGCTCTTAAACCTGTGTTTTACCCTCTAAATTTTGATTGAGGATGGAAGTTCAGGCAGCTGCCATGTTGTGTGCTGTTTTGTTTGTGTGTTTCCTTATTTCATGGCATCATTTGTTCTCTCAGAAGACTGGATGTGTTCAGCACTTGACAGCATTAGGCAACAGTGCCACTGGGAATAAAACTCCTGCTGAACTGAAACAGTAAATTAAAAATAGTACGTTGTATTATTAACATTGTATGTTTTCAGCAGGAAAACTCATTACATTTACTTTTGTGTGTATTATTATATAAGTTATGTCTTCCATTTTTATTAAGCCTCCCACCCATGTTTTGAACTATGGTATTTATTTCACTAAGGGGAAAATTAAAGATTTAAAATGTATTTTTGACTGTCATAAAACTGACAACTTCATTTAATCTCTCTTTAACCCCCTGCCGTTCATGCTCTTTTTTTATCCTTTTTTAAGTATTATAGCTGATTATCTGATTTTGGAATTTAATGTTTCATTTTTGCTTCATGTAACAGTGAAACCTATATTTGTAACTAAAGTGAGTAGATATTAATTTTTAACTGCATATCTCAATTGAATATAGTAATTATGCAATAATATGCACTTCAAATAGTCTCATCATTTTTCTGAACTCCATCCTTATTTAAAATAGGCACCTGACATTTGCATTGACTATAACCTTGCTTTAATTACTCACTCTTTGAAGACCCTGAGCACATCTAAAACATGGTTTGCAGACCAAAATTATCACCACCCAAGTGGCACCCAAAAATGTGGTGAATCCCACCCCCTCATCCAATTTCACAGACAACTGCAACAGGACAAAGGCACCAGCTGCACCACTGCAAACCCCACCGACGACGCCCACTGAGTCCTAGCGACCCTCTTTCCCTCTCCTACCTCTGCAGTTTGCCTACACAAAGTGCCCTGGGTAGAAGTAAGACCCTCTCACAGTCTCAGGTGCACAGGACACTCAAAGCACTCCCTTTTACTCCTCAGTGCGTGGGCATAACCGATAGACAGAGCAGGATAACAGCGCGCCCGCTACGGGCGACAAGCCCGCTTCACACTGCCCCAGTCCCTCACAGCCGGCTAAGAACCACCGCGCGTGCCCTCCCAAAGGCGGGAAATCAGCTCCGCCGGCGGAGCGTACCACTACCGACTCTGTGGGGGTCGCTTCGCCCCCTCCCCGTCGGTCCGCTGGTGGGCTCGACCGCATGCCCGGCGTGGGACCGTGTTGTTTGAGGCGCTTGAGGCTGGCGCCTCGCCCTGCGGAGGCGGGCGGGGGTGGGGGGCTGCGCTGAGGTGAGAGCGTGCGGCGCAGCGGGAGCAGAGCTCGCCGGTGGTCTCTTGGCGCCTCTCACGAAGTCTCCACGGGATAACCGTCTCCTTGGGGGCAGGGTGATAGGAGCACTGGGGGCAGTGCACCCCGATGCTGTCTTGACATAACCCCAAGGGCAGTGCCAGCACTTGCCACCTCTCCAAAAAACCCAAACAAAACCCAAACACCTCAGCAGAGCACCTCTTGAGGCCCTGATTTCACTCGTCTGTGTAGCACGTGAATTGTTTTATCAAATGGCTCTTCATCGACAGTCACATCAGCTGAGGCGGGACCTCGTGCGAATGAACGTTCCTTTGAACAGCAGCAAACAGACGTTGGATGGGAGCACTTCTGTGAGTGACAAAAGAGACCAATCGATTCCCTTTGTCTCTGGTTTCTCAATATTTATACTGCGCATGTAACTATGGCTACCGAGCAGTGATACTCCCCGGCCTATCACTCCTTTTTCTGAGGGAAATTACCACAAAGGGCTTCTGAGAAAAGTTTCCAAGACATCCACCTCAGTGTGGGCACACACCCTGAGGCCCAAGGCTGCCGAGCTGGAGGTCAGTACTACAAGCAGGACGTTGTCTGCTCTGTGGGCAGGCTGCTTCTTGTGGGCAGAGTACACAGACACCGCTGCGGTGCTGGTGGTGACTGAAGGTTGTGCTGCTGCTTTGGGTAGGCTGGGAAATCAATTGTTCTGCTTAAATATGAAAAGGAACAAGTTACGTCATTATTTTTTTTCTGTTACTGAAATTTGATAGCAAGTCCTGTTCAGATTACCCTGTCCTAACATAATTAGTATCGTGCCAGGCTTTTTTTCTAAAGTAGACATGTAGGACTGGTAGGGACCCATTGGGCTGCTGAGTAACATCGCCATGAAATCAGAGGCAAGCAAGCCCTGTGGTCCCACTGGAGAACAAAACAACTCCCCCTTCTACAGCTTCTTCCCATCTTACTAGGTATAAATTGCTTCTCTTCTAGGCTAAAGTTGGGTTGATCAAGACATACCAACCTCTCTTTAATCCTGCTAGGACTGCCTAATGTAAGGTTTAATATCCTGCCTTACCATGGAAACAAACTGTGCTGAGGCAATGGGGACTTTTCAGCAATTGGGTTCATAACAGTAAGTGGTGTTAACTGTAGAATAGGCTTCTTAGCTAGATACCCTTGCTGAAAACTTCACAGAAAAACATTAACCATTTTGTCATTTAAATGATCATAACTAGGTTTTGGGGTTAGTAGTGCTGGGTGAGTGACTATTTGTGAGACTTAAGAGAACCACTGAATAATTTGGTTTGGAAGGGACTTCTGGAGCTTGCCTGGTTCAAATCCTTTCTCCAGGCAGGGCCAGCTTCAAAGCTAGAATGGGTGACTCATGGCCTTGTCGAGTTTGGAGTATCTTCAAGGAGAAGATTGTCTTACGGTGTAATCTGAAGAGGAATTCTTTTACAGGCTTGGACTTAGACAGAAACAACTGTTAATTTACTTTATGGACATAGATTTTTTCAGAAACAGGCTGTAGAATTACATTCCTAGAGCCACATTTGCATGCTAGAATAAATGGACTTGTTCTCAGAAATGCTAAATATGCCATAGCATTCTCAGACGGTCTGGTTTTGTTTGTAATGGAGAGGGAAGATGTTATGTCTTGAATGCTTGTTGATGCTGTCCTCAAAAGCAGAACTGCCTGCCATGCAGATCAGAAGCAGCATGGGAACATGCAGGACCCTTCATGCCTGAGCATGTCCAGAGAAATAACAACTTACCAGTCATGGTCACAAATGCTGTTTGCAGGCAGCTGCTTTATCAGAATGTCTGAGGGTCCACTGCGATATAGACATAGACAAAGTGATGAAAATTATTTTTGTGGATAGAAGATCTGCAGCTGAGATACAAGTAGGAAAAAGACTGTCATAGTCATGGACCAGACTTGGAACACCAAGTGTGTCACGATGATGGATACTAATAGGGAAAGGGGTACTCCTGTCATCTCCCAGTGAACTCAGTACATGCTGCTCGTGTTTTCTAGTTCACTTTCCCTGCTTCATTGACCAATTTTTACAAAATCTGTTACACACTTTCAGTTGTCCTTGAAAACTGCAGCACCACCCAAAACCTATTCAAAAGGTTTGGTACTTAAAGAAAAAAATTCTAAGTTTAATATAAAGTTATTTGCTGGAAAAGACTAGATCAGTGTTTTAGTCAAAGTGAAATGTCACAGCAATAAGTGCTCTTAGACCCAGAAAAAAGTGCACAATCACTGTTGATTGCTGTAACGATAAAAAACCCCAACAAACTCTGAGTGGTGAGGATTTTAATGAACAGTAAATGACAGTGTATTGCACAGACTGTTTTTTGTGTTAAATATTTAGTGGTGGTTTTATTTTATAGATTACATTCACAGGAAGACAGGGAATGAATACTGAAATCCAATTCTCATGATTAGGCAAAAATGATACCCTGTGGCCATATGTTATATTTGCAATAATGTTATGCTAAATGACCCATATGTAAATATGTCATTTAACCACTGGGAAGGTGATTACTGTGATCAGTCTGGGAAAAAAAAAATGCAGAAAAATAGAAACTTTGAGGGTAAAATGTATGACAGATTTTAACACAGAAATACATGGAACAAAAAACCCATAAGATAGGGGTAGAACATTTAACTTGTAAGAGGTTTAGCAGTTAGCAAATACTTTCTTGTTTTAGCTTTTAAAATATTGCTGCTAACCTAGTAAGCAGTTTAGTACTGCAAACTTCCAAAATATGAGAGTTTTTCTATAGTTCATTTAGAGTTCATTCTATTTGCCTTTTTATAGGGTAGTAACTTCTCTGGCAAGACAGTTTAAGAGTCTGGTGGTCACTGAAAAAATATCTGACATCCACCGTGTATTAGGCAAGTAGTGAGGTCTTTTCTGGCAGAAACCGGCAGGTGGCTGGGTGATTTTGTGTTAATACAGTGCAACCTACAGAGGGTTTCTAACACAAATGCCTTTTATTGCTGTTATGAGCATCCCCGTAAGAGAAACTTTTGTGCCAAAGACCTATGACATGGCAGTCCCAGCCATGTTTCCTATTCTATTTCTCACAAACAGCATCATCTGTGTACATTTAAGATCTCATGTTTAGGCATAGGCTTGAGTAATTTTTTACTGACCTTCATGTTATTACTGCATTTTGGTGGTCTTTAATACCCTTCCTTACAACCCCAGCCATATCAGAGGAATGTGTCAGCTGCATTTACAGAGTTAAGGTTTGCAAGATTCAACTCAGTTTACAAAATTATTTTTCCTCTTATTCTGAAGAGCACATGGAAGGAAGAGCATAGGTTTTAACCTGCTCCAGACTGCTAGAGAACACATCACAGTGTTTAACACACTATAGTGTCAGGCTGCAGAGTAGCTTAGTAAGATGTGGGGATAAATAGTACTATCATGCATCTTGGGCATCAGCATACTGTTTGCTGTGTTGTTTTCCTCTTGATAAAAGGATTTATTTTTCTGGTTTAGGAGATGAAACCTGTCTGTCAGGAAGGATTTTTGGTATAGAAGCACCCATTTCTGTTGTGTTCTCCAAAATGTTCTATATTTGTCCAAAGGATGAAAACATACCAATATAAACAAATACATACAAATACAGGTTTATTAAGTAGGTTAATATACTAGAACACATTTAAATATAGATATTTAAATAAATAAATTTATATATGTGTGTAGGCAAATACATCTGTTAAAACAATTTCTGTAGCCGTTAAACTAACCTCAGTAAAAATAGTTGATTGCATGTTACTATCACTCATGCATGTTTGTTACTTAAGTCTTGGGGTGGGAGGTTTTAGGAAAAAAAAAAAAAAGACTACATATGTGACCTTATCCTCATAATTGGAGCCATCAAACAACATAAAAGGCCACCTAGTTTCAGCATGTGCTTGAGCTGTTACTTTGTTAAGAAACAAGAACAGAAATGTTCTTCCACAAAGGATTTTTTCCCTCTGTACTTGTGTCTTTTTGCTTGGCAAAGGATGACCTAATATTTGCTTTATATCTTCAGTAATTGAAAAAATAATGGCTGTTTATGGTATGTCTCAAAATACAAGTTTAATTATTTGTAACAGGACATTGGTAGGCAGTAGATTTCTGATGTTGCTTATATGAATTCCATATTCTTGTAATCTCAACAGGAGTGTTCTGTCATGCAGGATGAACTAAAAAAAAAAAGGAAGGTAAACACTAGGTAAATTGGAAAGGAAATCTCCTAAAATGTGTATCATTCTGTGACTCTGTAAAAACCTGGATTTTGTAATCTCCAGAAGGAGTCATTAGGGTCAGATCTAAAAATGAGACAATCTTCTGTGTTAGCTGTACTACATGCTCAACTTAAAATGGCTTTGGTTTGCCTTCTGAAATAACTTTCTAAATTACTACAGATGGAAAACCAGCTCACTGTATGATGCTGTCTACAAGTCTTTCTCTGGAATAGCCTGTGTTCATTTGTAGCATAACTTTTAATAAAATATTTAGCCATATGGTCTTGAAGGTAGACAGCATGTTCCAGCACTTTGTTGCATAGACAGACTGGTCCATGCTGTTTCCAAGAGGAAAAAAGCCCTTCGTGTGTCATTAGAGCTTAAGAGACCTTTGCAGTCATT